CATCTTGCCTGGAGTGGAGACAGTCAACTGCCGTGGTGCAGACCGTGGCACCCGTTCCACTCCCTCAGACCTCTGGGAATGTTGCTGGGGCCTCAGCTGCTGCAGGCTCCACTGCTCTGTTGGCCTCCCTCATCCCCAACTCCAAGCCCCGTCCTCCATGACTGCCACTTGATTAGGAGCAAAAATGGCTTTCCCCCCCTCTCTAAGCTCAGCTGGGCGCCCTGGATGCTGTTTTCCATCCCTTGCCCAGTTTCCTGGTAAAGCCCCTTTGTGTCCTGTTGGGCTCCTGGAACTGTCTCCTAGCAATGATCCCCTGGTGTCCACAGACAGGACCCTGCAGACAGGACCCAAGCAGAATAATGCCCTGAGCTCCGAGCCTAGCAGCTCTCACGGTCTCGGTCATTTTGGCGTGACCAGCATGGCAGCTGTGGTACAGGAAGCAGGTTAGGGAGTCACCTGGCCATTCACAAACCCAGAAGACAGGGACTGACATTTACCAGGCGTTGGCAGATGAACCTCTGGAAAGGCCCTCATTTGTTTCCTGAGAAGCTCAGTAGAGGGCACTCCTGCACCAGAACAGTTACACTGCCCTGGATGCAGCCCTGCCCAGCAGGTTTCCACAGAACCTGCAAATCCTCACCCACCACAGCGCGCATGCGTGCAGGCCCAGGCTCTGCTCTCTGCCTTGTCCACGGTTGAGCATGCGTGGGAGGCTCACCTTTGCACTTTGTGTTATCAACCTTACAAAGGCAGAGATAAAGATGAGGAGATGTATTACTCTATCAACTAGATTCATTCAAAAGTTCCTTTATTTGGTGACACACTGTTTCTAAGCCCTTTAAAGGGGAAAATGAATATTGTAGGGTGCAGTTTTCAAAGTTACTGCCATGTTATTGCATTCTGTTTGCTTGAAATAATTGAGTCCTTCTCTGGGTGTAAAGTCATGTGGATGCAGAATAGAAGGAGTAGGGCCAGAAACGGCTCTGCTGCTGGAAGTGAGATTCATCTGAGATGGGGCATCAGAGCAGGCTACTCTCTGAGAACTATCTTATTCCAATTAAGTAAAAGGAAGAAAGGCACAGTGCGGACCACTGTCCCCTGAATGGAAAGTGTGTCCATTGGATGGATAAATACATAATTAAACCGGTCTCTTTGCACTTAGGAAAGCTGACCTTTATTAGGCACTTGCTCTGTGTGCCCAGCACCGGGCCAGACACTGCACGTGTTATTCCGTTTGTTCGTCACACCTACTGCATGGGTTCGGTACATTTCAGAAATGGAGAGCTTAGGGAGGGGTGAGTTATCGATTGGCACACAGCTGGAATGTGGCGGGAAATGGGTGGAAGCCACTTGTGTGTCCACACAGCCAAGGCTGGTGGCCTTGACAGACATCCACAAAGAAAGAGGTTCAAAGCCATGAGTGGCTGATAAACATCTGTTTCTTTTCACAATTCCAGGGCTTTTCAATTGAAATCCATATTTGAAGGAATGTTCCTAGTTGACTCAACCAAATGACATTTTTATGTGTTAGAAGTTAAATTATCAACTGTAAAATCAACTTATCACCTGGTGAGAGAAATTAGAATGTAGAGCGGCTGCTATTCAATTATGGTGAGTTGTGTTTAGCGGCTCTGCTCTGGAAGGCTCTATTAATGTCTATTAATCTGCTTTTGCTACTGGACAACAGACAGCCTTTATTGCTGAACCCTACGGAGGGGATGCCAAATGCAGAGGCTGTAGTCAAAACCACTGGGTTGTTCCTAGTAATTCTCTCAACACCAAAAAACCTATGGGCTATTTCATTAAAATATTTCCCTCCTACTATGCCTAAATAAAAGCAGGACCCGACTGGGGGAGAAGCAAGCAACACAAAGGTGTCCTACATTGAGACTGTTTGCTGGACCTGGAGCAAGAGGCTGTGAGGCTCCTCTGCTCCTCTCCAAATGCCCAGGTCCCACCCTGGGCTCGTGCCCAGCCTCAGCCCTGTCTGTGGCAGAGTGGAAAGAGAAAGAAGACACACTCGTCAGAATGCGGTTGTTTATGGGGCAGACCTTGAAGAGGGCCAAGAAAAATCACTCTGAAAATGCAAAGTCCTGTCCTCCCAGAGTTCCCAAGAACAGAGACGACGTCATCACGGAGCACACCAGTCTGTGATGTTTTGCTTGCTCACTATCATTTGTCCCTTGGAAACGCATTCTTCAGTGGGAACCAGCACAGTCTAGCCCCGAGCAGGGTCAATCAGTTGACTTGAGGTGGGCCAGGCAGGCCAGAAGGATATGTATCACAGGCTTTCTTTGGAGTTGCTAGAGAAGAGAATTACATTTTTATTTCTAGGATCTCCACTAAAGGGTGTGAGTCTAAGGTTGCCTGTAGGGAGAAGGATACACAAAAAGGAAAACAGGAGAGATGGAAAGGAGTTGATCTACATTTTACTTTTGAGCTCCTGGATCCAGCCATGCCTGAAAAGAATACCTAACCTGAAACTTTCAGTAATGTCAGTCAATATATTTCCTTCTTTTGTCCAACTCAATTTGAGTTGAATTTCTGTCCTTGCAACTCAATTCAGGTAGCCTACAGTTTCATCCCCCAGGGAATTAAAATGGTGTGCTGGTGGGAAGGAGTGAGGAAGAGCTGAGCAAGCCCTTGGCTCTCCACATGAATACAGTCAGGGCTCCAGCAGAACGGGTTCAGAATCAGGGGGTTCCAACAACTGTTGATCAAAAATATTTGAAAAAAAAAGTTTCCTGCGGGATGAGGTGGTGGACACCTGCAATCCCAGCAGCTCGGAAGGCTGAGCAGGAGGATCACAAGTTCAAAGCCAGCTTGAGCAACTAAAGGAGGCCCTAAGCAACTTGGAGAGAGCTTGTCTCAAAATAAACAAACAAACAGGTCTAGGGATGTGGCTCAGTGGTTAAGCACCCCTGGTTTCCATCCCTGGTATCAAAACAAACAAACAAACAAAATTTCCTCTGTACTAAATTGGTACTGGTTTCTTTTATTCTTGCCACTGTTTCTTAAACAACGCAATATAACAACTGTGAAAGCATCATATACATAGCACTACCTACTACAGGTAATCCAGAAAGGATTTGAAGGACTTGGGAGGATGGTCATAGGTTACATGAGGCCATTTTTATGGGAGGGACTTGAGCATTGGCAATTTTTTTAAAATAGCTTTTTGGTTTCTTTTTTGGCACTGGGGCTTGAACCCACGCATGTTTTACCACTGAGATCGTCCCTACCTCTTTTTATTTTTTGATTTGGGATAAGTTGCTTAGAGTCTCACTAAGTAGCCCAGGCTGGCCTCAAACTTTAGATCCTCCTGCCTCAGCCTCCCACATCGCTAGGATCACAAGTGTGCGCCACCATGCCCATCTGAGCATTGACAGTTTTGGTATCCTCAGGTGTCTCAGAACCATCTTTTGAGGACATGCAGGGACACCTGCGCTGCTGGTTTTGGAGCAGGCAGTCTGCATAGAGGTCACTCCTGGCAGTCTCAGCACCTGGGCCCAGTTCCTGTCTGGCAGGCTGGGCTGACATCTGCAGGGCTTTCTCCAGTGCCACATTCCATTCCAGTCCCTGGAGAGTAGGTGACAACAGTGGCTGCTGCCATTCCAAAGCGGGGCTTGTCCTTCCTTCTACAGGTGTGGTCTCACATGCTTTGTTACAAGCAAAACCCTGCTTTCTGCCCTAGCTTGTGAAAGAGGTCTGGAAAAGGAAAGTGTATCCTTACTTATTAGATAATCATTAATATTTTCATTTTCTTCTCTTTTGAAGCATCTCCATCTATATTGTCTCAAAAGTCTGACCAGAGGGATGGGATCACCACTTTTCTGCTGTGTCAACGAAGAGTAGCTCCGCAGGCAAGGGATGCGCTTGTTAGGTATCTTAAACTAGAATAACATCACTGAATTGGGGTGACAGGAGGTAGAGTCCAGGGAATATTGATTTGTAAGCCTCAGTGTCATAAACTCCAGGCTACAGACACATTTTACTTCTGCCCCCAAGCGTATGTGGAGCCTCAGGCATGCATTCAGACTGCCCTGTGATTCCTGCTCGGTGATCCACCTGTGGGCGGGTCCTAGTCTCCAACAGGGGGGTCGTGGCTGTGGCTCCTAAATAGAGTGCTTTCCTGGCATGTGAGAGGCCCTGGGTTTCATATGCAGCACCAATTTTTTTTTTTTAAAGCGTTTTCAACATGGGCTGGCAGGGGTGCTTTCTCTATGTCTAACGCTTACTCTGGGATGTCGGCAGTTGGTGGCTATAAAACAAGGCGATCCAGGCGGGGCGTCTGGCGAGTTGTCTGGGTTATCTCGGGTAGACAGGTCTCCTTAGTTCCCTGTCCTGGTGAAAAGCTGGGCGCCCTCTGGAGCTCGGACGAGGCTGGGCTTCCCGAAGGACCTGGGCCCCCGGCACCGGAGGTTTCCGGGACGGGTGGGAACGCGTCCAAGGTCCAGGGTCGCAGCTAGCCTCTCGCCACTCGCCGCAGCCGAGGGCTCAAGGAGGCCAGCGCCTTCCCTCCCGCGCCCGGGCGCTTGGGGCTGACCCCTTCTTCGCCTTCGCTCCCTGCGCTGCACTCTCGCCCCCGCCCTGCTGCCTGCTGGGGGCCGCGGGAGCGCGGGCAGAGCGGGGACCCAGACTGGCTCTCGAGACAGGCTGCGCCCCCACGACTGCGGCGCGGCCGGCAGGGCGCGGGCGGGGGTTCCGGGAGGCCGGAGCTGTTTTTAAAAGACGCGTCAGCTGCTGGGAGGAAGAGCGGGCTCCGGGCCCATTGTCTTCGCGCGGCGCGACACGGCGCAGCGCGGGAGGGGAACCCGGAGGCAGTCGGAACCGACCGAAGCGCGCGAAAACCCGCGGCGCGCCCAGAGGACCACGCCGGACCCCAGGGCCGCGGGCGGGCGGGGCCGGGGGCGGGGCCTGCAAGGGGCGGGGCCGGGGGCGGGGTCGGGCGCCCTGCGGCCGCTGCAGGCTGGCGGCGGCGGCTGCAGCGCGGGCAGCGCGGGGACTGCGGGGACTGCGGGGACTGGAGGCAGCCGTGCAGGCAGCGACGCCCGGGGAAGCCCGCATCCCGCCTGCACCTCCGAGGCGCGCCCCGGGAGCGGGAGCGACCCCGAGGCGCCGCCCAGGGCCAGAGTCGAGCGCAGGGCGCTGAGAGCCCTGAGTCGGCCCGGCGCCCAGAGCCCAGGCAGCGGCCGGAGCGCGGGGGCGCGGCCCTGGGAAGCCGTAGAGCGAGCCCGGGCCGGGGGAAGAGCGCCGAGCGCGAGCGCCCTACACAGCGGCGTTGGAGGCGGCTTCGCGGGAGACGAAAACCGCCGGCAGAGACGCGATGACCGCCGATAGGGAGCCCGGCCGGCTAGGAAGCGGGCGCCGCGGAGTCTGAGCGCGCGGAATCGCGCGTCCCGGGGACGCCGAGGCTCAGGCCGGTGCGGGCGACCGAGGGCGGCGGGCGGGGCCCAGGTGCGACCGGCCGCATCGGGCCCGTGACTGCTCGGGGGGCGGCGCCCTCCCGCCGCAGCCGCAGTGGCCGGCGCCGCAGCGAGGAGCCATGGGCAACATCTCCTCCAACATCTCGGCCTTCCAGTCCCTGCACATCGTCATGCTGGGCTTGGACTCGGCCGGCAAGACCACGGTGCTCTACCGGCTCAAGTTCAACGAGTTCGTGAACACGGTGCCCACCATCGGCTTCAATACGGAGAAGATCAAGCTGAGCAACGGCACGGCCAAGGGCATCAGCTGCCACTTCTGGGACGTAGGAGGCCAGGAGAAGCTGAGGCCGCTGTGGAAGTCCTACAGCCGCTGCACGGACGGCATCATCTACGTGGTGGACTCGGTGGACGTGGACCGGCTGGAGGAGGCCAAGACGGAGCTGCACAAGGTGACCAAGTTCGCCGAGAACCAGGGCACCCCGCTGCTGGTCATCGCCAACAAGCAGGACCTGCCCAAGTCGCTGCCGGTGGCCGAGATCGAGAAGCAGCTGGCGCTGCACGAGCTCATCCCGGCCACCACCTACCACGTCCAGCCGGCGTGCGCCATCATCGGCGAGGGCCTCACCGAGGGCATGGACAAGCTCTATGAAATGATCCTGAAACGCAGGAAGTCCCTCAAGCAGAAGAAGAAGCGGTAATACGCCTGGCAGGGTTCGGGAGCTAGGGGGAGCAAGCCAGGGAGCGAACGAGTCAGAAGTGAATGAATGGTTAGATGGGTGAGCGAGAACCCGCGCCCGCGAACAAAGACAGCGAACCAAAGCGATGCTTCGAATTTTTTAAACTCTATCTCTGTACCCAAATGCAGAACTGGTGACTTAACCTGGCCTGGAGCTGATTTATCAGCCAGCTCGCCATCTGCCCCACCCCCACGCCAGCTCTGGGGACCTTTTGTCTGAGCACCGGAGATACCTAGTGGGTGGGGGACCGGTGGGGTGTGGACCTTCGGTTCAGGCTTGTGCGCCCTCCGGCCCCAGGAGAAGGATCAGATGTCAGAGACAAGGCGATTTCTTGATTTCTTCTTACTACACTGGGCCGGGAGTTCAGGCTGCCCCGCCCCCATTGGGGGAATCACCTGTGAGTTACCTGAGGTATGCAGTTCCCAGAACCCTGGGGGGCACCCATCTGGAGTCAGGGTGGCATTGGGGGTGGCGGTGCTGGGGAGAGGAATGCCCCTTGCATTCAGGGGCTTGGAAGCTGAGTAATTTTATGTCACAGGGCAGGCCCCTGTTGAAATTTCATAGGTCCTGCTCTGGGCCCAGAGGAGGTGGTGGTTTGGGCCATCAGGACTGCCTGGGACAATGCGGCAGCTGGAGGGCACTGGGCGCTGTGCTGCTGGCCTTGGCTGGGAATGGCCGAGAAGATGCCCCCTTCATGGGGCTTTGTGGTGGCTACCGGAGACCGGTTTTGTTGAGAACTGCTTTTCAGCCTGGAATGAGACCTCTTCCAGATGGCTTGGACCCTGTCCATGTGTAGGTCATTATCACACAAAGAGACCAATAAAAATTAAAAAAAAAATAAGAAACTGTTCGAGGTGGTGGCAAATGATGCATTTACTGTTTGCAGGTTAGTTAAAGGTGTTCAAAGGGCAATGCTCTTGGCATAAATCTGGATGGTGTGTGTGTGAGAGAGAGTATACAGGGACCTCCCTCTGTATTCTGTAATCAGCATAAATATCTAGATCCATTCTGTGTGGAATTTTAAATTCTCTGAATCTACCAATTGGTTTGGATGAGCATACCAGCTACAGATGTGTGCTGAGTTGCAAGATGGTTTTTCTGCAAGGGATGTCTCTTGTAATACTAACCGTGTGGTAATGGGTTTTCAGACATGTTTTTAAAAATAACTTACAAATGAATACTCACCTTAGAAATATTCACCTTAGGAAAAAAGACTTTGCTCTGCCCTTTTATATCCCTTGACGCTGCAAGTGGCGACATGTTCAGATTTCTAATTTGGTTCATTGTGGCCTTTCTGGTTTAAGTATTTCATTCAGAACATCTCATTAGAGTATTTGATGTCATGCACCAAAAATAAAACCCCACCTTTTTGCAAAAACGACCTCGTTGCATGGATTTAAAAGCGGAGGAAAAGCTAAGGATGTAGTCCTTCTCCATTCATTCTCTAACTGGCCTTGTAGCCAGCAGGCACTTTGGGCAAATGCAAACAAGGGGTGCTTGAGATAAAAGAAAGCCTGTGACGTCATGGTCACTGCTGCTCAGGCACTTCACAGTTTACTTGAAAGAAGCTTTGGAAAATAGATAAAGTGAAAGAAGAAGAAATGCATATTTTTAATAACGTAATTTTAAAAATCCTTTATAATCAGGACTGAGTCTTGGTTTGCACAACCTGTCGTATCCTGAAACACAGTATCAAAAGGGAAACTCAACAATTGACTGTTTGATTTTTATTTCCTCCCTGAATCCATGTTTTCAGGTAGAATTTTGACATCCCCCTCCCCCCAGTGACATGTTTCTTTGCAAAGGAGGCCTGTAGAAATTGGATGTGGCCATGCGTGAGCATGTGGGTTAGCCCTTGCCCATTGTCCATTACCCTCCGAGTGGCGACGTGAGAACCAGAGGCAGATGTCTGGCTTCCTGCTTCAAACCCAGTTCTTACAGGAGATTTTTTAAAAACAGAAATCTAGCAGCCTGTCTTCCCTTCCTCTTTGGTCAGTGTATTTGGTACCCTTCTACTGCTGGTCTTTTGTAGAAACTCAGTAGAGAAAATAGAGCTAGGCACTGATGAAGGCCGGCGAGATTTCAGTTTACATATCGATAGCATATTCACTGACTTCTGAATGGGCTGGTCCCATCATCTGAAGATTCTGTATAGAATTATTAAAATCAAATCCATCTTCATTTATTTTCTTCACATGTAACAATTTCTTAAGCACTTTTTAGTCGTTCCACACTATTGAGAGAATAATATATTTATTTTGCGACTTTGCAGATGCCAAATACTGTCACCGTCTCGTGCTGACAATACCTAGGTTCCAGGTCACTGTTCAAATCCTGTAATGCTTTAACAATCGTGCGAGATGGTTTTGTTTTTTGCATTATCAATACTTAAGGGTGCCGTCAGCTGTTAGTAATTGTGCAGTAAAGTCAAGCCCTGTGCTGTATCAACTAATAGGTAAGAGTCTCAGTTCATTTCTGTAACGTTTGACCTATTAGTCGCCCTTTTCATCTCTGACCCAACGGAGGAAGCACAGATGAAGTCACCTAGGAGGGGTCACCCAGGGGGAGTCCCCTCCACGTATCAGTCAGCGGTCCATTATGCCTTTTGCCCTTTAGAGATGGAATGGGCTTCTCGTAGAGGAAGCTGGTCTCCCCAAGTGAGCTTTGAAATGTTTCCTGGTAGACACAGGGAGGCCAGTTTTATTTCAGAACAATGCTCTTCACAAATTCTCTGTTATGGTGTTGGGACTGTGTCCACTGGTTTCAGTTTTCATTTCTCTGCTGTAATTCTCTGTCTTGATCATTCTTTGTTTCCATCCCTTTTTATAATGCATATATGATGCTGTGAACAGAAATAAATTATTTATACAATCAAACAACTGGGGACATTTTCTGTGGATGGTTTTTCAAATTGCTGTGTTCATTCTCCAGGCCTCTGCTGGGCAAGGATATGGGTTGCAAGATAGTGTCTGGGGTTCCAGCAGGGTGCAGGGCCGGGTCAGTCACCTGCTCTGTTGGTGTCAGTGTCTGGGTCCACCTGAATGGTGGTTGTAGAGGCTCATGCAAGAGCCCATGTATCCTCCACTCCCTCTGGAGAGCCCACCTGTTGGAGCATCTGGCATCTCAGAGCCTGGCCCGTCTCACATCCTTTAAGAGATGACCAGTTCCTGGCCCACTCTCATTCATAACAAAATCCTGAATTGTTAATTACTTCAAAAACATTATCTGATTGCATAAAATTCAAAATAGCATTGCATAAATCTAAGGGTTCTAGTGAGGACAAAGCTTCTGAGTATCTAAACTATGTCTTGGCTCAGTATCAGGCACACGGGCACCCGTCAGCAGCACTCCAAGACTTGAGACCTCTTTAGTAGTAGGTGTGGTGAGACCCTGGTGCTCTGTAGATGCTGTTGGGAACCGGCACACTTTCTAAGGAAAAGAGTGGTGGGCCAGTGTGGGTAGCAGGTGCAATGGGAGTTCTCGGGGCACTTGCAGGGATTAAGCCACACACTCAATGGTTACTAGGTGACAGTGAAGACCCCAAGTGTCCTCTTACATCTGGAATCAAAATGACCAACTCCAAATACTGGCTCCAAAGCTTGGCTCCCCATGACTTTGCTCAAGTTCCTTTACCATCCAGCCTCCCTTTCCCCATATGTAAAGCAGGATCATAATGGTACCTGAGAGAATGTTGGGGGTTGAAGCATGGTCAGACGGGCGACGGGCTGAGCCCAGGGCCTGCACAGAGCCAGGGCTTGGTAGCTTTAGCTGTTCATGCTACTGGTCGCGAGCAATATGTTGTGTGGATACACGGTGATTTCACCTGACCCTGGCCATCAAATTAGGTGGTCCCAGTCTCCCTTTTGGTACCCTCTACCTGCCAAAAGCAAGGCTGCAGTCCCAACAGAATCTCTGGCCATCCCTGTGGCCTCACCAAGTGAAAGGCTACGCCAGGTGCAGACAGCTCTCCAGACTCTTGAAGCCATTGCTTTTCATACTCCCCAAGTCGCTAGGCTGTGACACTCAAGGCAAGGAGTGAGTTGGTCCCCTTCTGCTACTGTGCAGAGCATAAGGTTAAGCACAGAGTGGGTGCTCTCTAAACATTGGTCAAGTGGCTTAATGTGGATTGGTTTTCCTTGTAAACTCTAACATGTCTGCTATGTAAAATAAATTGTTATTTCCCGTTAAATATTTAAATTAAAATGAAAATAGAAAAATATGAGTATCATTCTTCCAAGTCACTATTGTAAGGTGAACCCCTGCACAAGGATTATATTACATTATGATAAATATGTATGTGGGTTAGAAGCTTTTTTTTTTTTGTGAGTCTGGAATAACAAGTCTTGCAAAAAATGAGCAAGACTTGACTTGATCATTCATGTTACATTGAAGCTAGTTATTAGGAGCACATCACATCAAAAGAGCACAAATGCCATTTTTAAGCACTAAAAACCCCCGAAACTGGTGAGAAAGCTATTTAGAGACCATCATGACATCACATGGGTAAAAAAAAATATTGGCAATCATGGGGCTGGAGTTGTGGCTCAGCGCTAGAGCACTTACCTAGCATGTGTGAGGCACGGTTCTATCCTCAGCAGCACATAAAAATAAATAAAATAAAGATAGTGTGTCCATCCACAACTAAAAAAGTATTTAAAAAATATTGGAAATCATAATAAGCAAAGATTGAAACCCTTAATTTATGCAAGCTTAATCTAACCTCGATGTAACAGATTTCTGGGGATCCAAGGGTGGTAATTTTTCATCCTATATTTTCCAGAACAGTGAGGCAGATGAACCCTCACTGTGACCTCCAGGCACTGAGGGGGCTGACTTTAGTCATAACTGCTGCATTTCCCCAAACCTTTCCCTCGAGGTTCTGATTGTTCACGTATAAGGTTGTGGATGGACACAGACGACCAACCGTCCTATTCTTCTGGGCCTTGGCACTTGTCTCCAGAGCTTAGGCTCTTGAAATGCTCCATTGCCAATGTTTCAGACGGATTGGACATCATGGTCACGTGGTGGAGCAAAACCCAGCACCTGACAACGCTTGACTCAACAGTTTCTTCCAGGCTACAAGTCACCTCTCTCCCTTCTGCCTTGAGCCTACCCAGGTTTGATGCCCACAATCTGGGATTTGCTTGCCGTCTCCGACCACAGAAAGCATTTCTTTCCTCTCCTCCTTTGGCCGTCTCTGCATGTTCATTTACCCTTAAAACAGCTCCCTCCTTCGGGCTCTCCCAGGCTCAGTTGGCACCTGTTTAAAATAGAGTGTGCACAAGTGGGTGGAGCACCCGATGCAGTCGCAAGCCCCAGGCTCAGCCTCCGCGTTCACAAGAGGAATTTGCAACTTGAGGGTTTCTGAGAAAGCGGCCAGTTGTTCTCCAGCTCAGAAGTGAGAATCCACCGGCTGGTGGCTTAGCCCTGCTCAGTTCTCAGAGTAGGGACTCTCTTTGAGTGTCCAGCCTTACCTGTAACTGCTCACCTGGACTGCTCTTAGTGAGAACACGGGGTCGGTGAGGGTGATAGCATGGCATGAAGGTAGAACCGCGAGTTTTGAGTCACACTTGGCATGAGTCTGGAATGACAAGTATCCCATTTGCATTTATTAATCAAGAGCGAGCATCGTGACACTTGGGGCAGCCCCGTCCTTGTCGCCTGTTGGCTTGTGTAATGGTGCCAAGGCCATTGTGACAGGCCCAGTGTGGGCCAGCCACCTGCCAGGGGCTTCATATATGCTTCATCTTATTTCTTCCTCCCAAGGCCCCAACAGGCCAACTGGTTCTATCTGCTTACAGAGGAGAAAACCAAGGTAGAGGTTAGTTTCTCTCCTCCCAAGATTAGCCGCTGTTGAGGGTGTTCAGGTCCCTTCTGCCCACCTAGCCTGCTGCTCCTGGTCTGGGGAGGTCCACAGCTCCAGGGAACTCTGGGGAGGGACTCCCAGTCTAGGAAGGAGAGGAGTCAGGACTGTGTTGCTGACCTGCATCACCCGGAGGGCCCCTCTGCCATCATGCCTGACCCCTTGCTCATCTCAGGATTTTCCATTGTAAAGAACCCACCCCAGGGGTTAGGAAAAGATGACCCCTCTTGCATCAGGGCCTGACCTTGCATAACTGTCTCTGGTATTTCTTTCAGGACAGGTTGTGTCAGGGACACTGCCTCTCTGTCTCATCCAGGGACATTACGCACAGCAGAAAGCCCCGGGCGGGTGTCAGGGAGGCTCCACTCGGCCTCGGATCCGTCCAGTACTCCATGAGGCTGAGAGTCCCTGCCTGCCCACCCCTCGGGGGTGTTCTGCACAACATGAGCTAATAGATGGAGAAGCCCGTGGCTGCCGACCTGCAGGTCAAGTCGCCAACCTGCGGAGGATGCCACTCTGCCTCCCCTGACCCTGGTCTCCAGTGCCGCCTCCTGCCGCACCTGCAGCCGCGTCCTGCTCACCCTGTTTCTCGGAGACTGGTCCAACAGCTCCTGAGGTCCCTCTTCGTTTTCACTGATAAGAAAACTTCCAATTCTGGGGGAGGGTGGCCAAAGGCTTCCCACAGGTGGACACCCCTCCCTGTGAGAGTTCTGACACTGTAGACGCTGTAGTGGACGCTTCCAGCAAGAGACTGTTGGGGAGACAAGCCTCTTTCTGTCAGCTGTTTACAAGATTCTCATTCTTCCGGTGACTCCTCATGACTGTCCTCATTCCCTTAAACACTAACTTCTCATTCAATTAATTTCAACTGCCCATGTCTCTTGAAAACTAAAATAATTTACATGTTTAATTTAAGAGTCGCCATGGTAAGTAATGACAATTGCGAGAGCCTATTTCACACAGATGTGTCTGTGTCCATTATTACCTTGACGAATCTGGCTCTGCTATGTAATTTGAAGTGTGCTGGGGTGTAGTCATGATGGTAAAAATGCTGCTAAAAATAACACATACAAACAGTTGTGACACCCATTATGTAGGGTACACACCACTAGGCAGAGGTGCCAGGATGACTTACCTGCCCCCATTCTTGCCCTAGAAGGGCTGTTATTTTTGCTGGTGAATCAGAGCTAAACTACCAAGTGTGGTGCTTGACTCCAGTGTGAAGTATCCCTAATTTTATCAAAAGCAAAGTCAGCCAATCAGTGCAGGGCTGTAAGCCACACCAGCCTCAGTGTAAAAATAGGAACCACGCGCTCCCTAAGATGCATTGCTCTGTGGTCCTGGCCTGCAGGGTGGGGATATCCACAGCCCTCAGGATCCTGCCCTGGTTCCTGGGCAAATGTCCTCTGCCCCCTCCTCTCTCCAGTCCTTTGTTGCCTGCCACAGAGGTGGCTCTATTATAAGATTCACAGAAGCTGCGATAGGCATGGCGGCTCTAACTGCCGGTCCCACCTGTGTCTACCCCATTCTCCATGTTAAAAGCTATTTCAGTGGCATGGCTCCTTCCTGTTTGCCATGATACAAAAGGAACCTGAATGTCTCAGAAAGCCCTTGTGTATCTGACCCTGGCTCTGGCTCCTGGGGCTGCCTGGGAGTCTCAGCCCTGAGTATTCTTCCTAGGAGGTGCCTAACTGGCGAGAAATGAATATGAATGGATATGAATCCTAGTGTGGGCCCAACTCAGATGTCCCACCAGGACCCTGTCCACCTAAAGGAGATGAGAGATCTGTTAGAATCAACTGGTTCTGGTAAAGTTAGAAATCCCTGAGGAACACTGGGCACTCCCCAGCACCCACCGTCTTTGTTCTGCTCTTTCTGCATCTATTTGTGCAGATAATTGGGACACTGGTATCAGAGGCAATCTAGTTAGATTTGGGGCAAAGGCCACAGAAGGAGGCCCTGTGGGGAACCCACACAAATCAGTGCCTCTTCATCGTTCTTGCTGCTTCGAGCCTG